ATATATATATATATATATATATATATATATATATATATATATATATATATGGACCTGATACTGGTTTGCGCTACTCGCAGTTGCGAAATATGTCTCGCGTTTCCAGGCGACTTTTCAATTCGAATACGCGGTTAGAAATCTTTGTACACTTGGATTCCCACGAATATACAGGGTGGTTATAAATTCGCACGTGTGCTTTTCCTCTACTACATTTTTTTAATTAATTTGAAAACGATTTTTACTTGATAAAAATTTACTTAGGCATTATTTCTACTATAACTTGTAAAATGTTACACGCACATAGACCTCTAATAAAATAATAAAATAAAATTTAATTTCAGAGAAATTCACACGTGGAATTAATCGAGGAATTAATCGAGGGGAATAAGATTTTATTCGCGTCATTTCAATATTTTATTCATATTTTCATGAATTTTTCAACTTTGGAAAGCTGTGAAGTGTGTGAATAAAATATTGAAATGAAAAGCAAATAAGTAAAATCTTAATTCCCTCGATTAATTCCTTGATTAATTTCACGGGTGAATTTTTCTTAAATTAAAGTTCGGAAACTTATGGTTTTAACTGTGAATTGCTCACAATTCAAGAAATGATTGGTGTTTCAATATTGTCGACAAAAGGTTGATTCTAAATCACTCAAAATATCTAGCTACATGAAACATGTGTACATAGTCATTCAGTGTACAGTTTTATTGTCACGTTTGAGAATTGCGCGCTACAACGATTGTGAAATGTGCTTTCGACCAGTTGGAATTTTACGGTAGATTCGGACGAATCTGACGGGAGATATCATAAAGTCGATCCTTTTGGTGGTTCTCGGAATACTTATGCAGCCACGATAAACCGTAACATCAATCGTGCTTCTTATTTCGGATCCGCGTAAGAGACAAAGGCGGATTTCCATTTATCTCTTGTATTCTTGTTACGATTTTTCGAAACTTGCACTGAGACCATTCTATAGAACGGGGAATGCTATTGGCTTTAATGATATCGACGAGGCAGCAGAACGAGACGCGTTCTTGCGCCATGAAGCTTCGTTCTTTTTGACTTGACTATATCGATGAGCTTGCAGAAAAGTATTTGCCTGTATTGCTCTCGGCACAAACGATAGGGGCTCCAATTAGTCTTTTCTTGGTAAATCAGCGCCGGACTCGAGAATTTTTAAGTTCGTATAAGAAAGCTTTAATAGAGAATAAAATACGAAAGCTACACTTAGAAACTCACGAGAAACTATTACTTTTTATCAACTGAGACTCACGTAATTAGTATACGTATTCGCGTAATTACTAAACTGGTAAAGTTTGGCGAAAATAAATTTTTAAATAATATTCGACTTTTGAAAAAATATATGATGAGAAGAAATACGTTATATTCTATCGTGTCAAGATAAATTCGTACAGCGAGAACTTAAATTATATATAATTATATATATATATAACTTAAATTATATATATATATATATATATATATATATATTTACTCGTGTATTAAAAATGTTTTAAACATAGGAATAGTCAATCTTTTAAAAATAGTTTCTTGCTTTTAATATACATTCAAAAAAAAATACATAGTGGTGGCAACTATACAGATGACAATTATACATATATTAGTTTATGTATTTTAAATAGAATCAATGTATACAATTAATAAATTTTGTTATTGCAACTAAAGCTGTATGGAATCACGAGAATTATATATAGTTCTTTAATTCTTTATACAGTTTTCCTGACCATTCAGCTTCAGTTGCAAGAACTACGAAATAGTTTATTAAATTATTAAATTGATTTTACATTTAAAATTCATATAGTCTCTTGTACAGTTGCCATCACTATATTCTTTTTTCTGAGAACGTAAACAAATAATATACTGAGAAAAAAATATTTGCAAATTTATTTGTGAAATATAGGGTTTATTTCTATGAAATTAAAATTATTTCTCCAATAAACATAAAAATAAATAAAAATAAAGTTTATTTCTACATAATATACCTTTGTCTTCACATAAATAAATTCGCAAATATTTTTTTTCAATGTATATTCATTTAACACAGACGTGTCGTCCTACTGAACAATGACACTATTATCGATAACTATGAGGTCTATCTCGGGACTAATTACGTTATTACTGGAGCTAAAACTCGACCTTGCTTCCTGGCGCCGTAGAAACGTGACAACGACACAATTCCTCGCAACTCCTCGTAAACAGCAGATAGAATCGATCCCTCGAAATGTGTGCGCGCGTCTGTTTCGAATAATCGAAGCGATACATTACGCGTACTGAATGCAGAAGCGAAACAAAGTTTGAATCTTCCTCCAACTCTTCCTTACGTTATGAATGCGTTACATTTTCTGAATGTTGACATTCTGACTCACAATATTTTGAGCTCGGAAAAACATTTGTGTTCATACGCAACTTATGTATAATACATTGTTAAATTCATATGACGACTACGGTTTGATCTGAAACTTTATATGAATATATGTTGAATATAAACTTCATTATATTATGATAAAATCGCAAAGAAAATGAAATTTCTCGCGAAAAAAATAAATAAAAAATAAATTAATTAAAAGAGAATGGGGAATGTAACATTTCTATACGCGGTTGTTGAAAATCATGGGAAATAAAAGAAACGCGCAAAAAAATATTATTAATTTTCCAATTTTCTGAATCTGTCTACTCGAAAATAAAGCCTTGCGCCCGAAAAAAAAGATTATGTACAATTTCGATTTATTTCGACGTACGATGAATGACCCTATCCCCGTTTGTATCGTCGTTACTGTATCCCGTATTATTTTGGAACGGCGCAGAAACGTACAATCGCGTTGTTAGCCGGTATTTTTGGGGTGGGAAAAAAATTCTATAACGGTCGAAGGTAGGATACGCTATTACTATGAAAAACAAAAGCCCCGACGAGTATTTTCTATATCACTTGCGCGGGGCAAGCTTTGTAGCAGCACGCGGCGCGCGGGATTACAATAGAATTGCACCGCGACCGGCACGTGCCATTGGTTTTCATTACGCGCGTCCGCACTTACAAACCATTAATTTGAATACCGCATCACTTAAACACGCGGCGATGCATGCACGGTAATGGTAGGTAGCAGTCATTTGCGCTCTCTCTCTCTCTCTCTCTCTCTCTCTCTCTCTCTCTCTCTCTCTCTCTCTC